GCGGGGCCCTCAACTGCCTCAGCCTCTCCAGCCGCGCCGTCCCCGCCAAGGAGCCGCCGCCGCCGGCCCTCTCCGGGGTGCGGGGCTCTGAGCCCGCCGCCAAGCCCCCGCCCGCCGCCGCGCCGGGCTCTCCCGAGGGCGAGGAGAAGGTGGCCGCCAAGGGAAAGAGCTCGGGCCCCAGCGCTCGGAAGGGGAAGGGGCAGATCGAGAAGAGGAAGCTGAGGGAGAAGAGGAGGTCGACAGGTGTGGTGAACATCCCGGCCGCCGAGGTGAGCCCGCGGGGGAGGCGGCGGGGGGTGGTGGGCTCGGTTCCGCGGGGGCGGCAGCGGTGCCCGCCGGTGCGGTTCTCCCCAGCCCGCCTCGCCCGTGGGCCAGCCGCGGTGGCGGAGCCTTCTCCCCGCACCGCGCTTCTTCAGCAGGCCTCCGCGCCGTCCGTGGGCGTGCGGCATCGAACGGGACGAGGTGCCGTTTGCTCTAAATAAACTAGACCTGTCACGACCTGTGACTGCTTTAATGTCTGCTGGCTGGCAGAGGGTAAGCTCCAGGGCTGCTGGAAGATCAGACCGAGACACGTGCCTGTTAAAGGACGGGCAAAACAATAGTAAGGAAAGAAAACTGATTTATCAGCTCTCAGTAGATGTTCAGGTGTAAATATTATTCAGTTTGGAACCAGGAAGAATTTCCTGCACTGGAAAAAATGTAGTGGTTTAAAAGAGCATTTTTTTGAAGGCAGAGGAAGATATTTTTATCAGCCAACACCACTGTCCTCTGTGGTTTGCTACTAGTATAAAAATCTGGCATTGATTTATAATACTCCTAGAGGAATTCAGAAGAATGATAACTAAGTTTTTTAGCTTTTTTGCAGTTAATCAGAAAGGCCACAGGAAACTCTGAACAGGGCTGCGCTTTAGTCTACAATTTTGCACTAATGGTGATGACCACCATCACTGTAGTAAAAGCTTGTAATTCTTCTTTTGCTTAACATTATGGATTATTAAAATAACACTAGAGAGTAAGATCTTTGTTTCTAAAGCCGGAGGAAAAGATAAAATCATGTTTTCCATACCTGAAGTCACTAATCCCTCTTTTGTCACATCCTAGGCATTTTCACAGCGAAAGCTTTCATGGGAGAAGGTATTGGAAGGTGAGGAATGAGTTTTAGGAGCAGTAGAAATCTTTATAATAGTGTGTTTTGAGAATAATTACTTGCATAGTCTTTAGTTTGAGGTGAAGTTTTTTGGCATAGGTCTTCAATATTGTTGCTTTGGAAAGTGAGTTCTATAATTCTATGGCTTCAGAGTATGCAAACTTCCTAGATTGTGGTCATTTTGTTTTATAGAAAGCCCCCTCAATACCTGCCCACTTTTCTTCTATAGGAGCTCTTAAAAAGCTGTGTCTTCCCTAAGTAAGCTAGCCCTAGCCCAATTAACACCGGTTTTGCACATTGCAGCAAGGAGTGTACAACATCGTTTTAGGCGCCTCTGCTGTGTAGCCAGCTCCAGTCATCATCTTTGTTTGGTTTTGAATGGTGGGTTTCTTTTCACTCTTTGAGAATAGTGTCCTAGTTCTTTGAACTAGTTTTCTGAACCACTGTTCCTTTGGTGGGTTTTGGGTGATGTGGTTTGGGGTTTGCTAGTTTGGTTGCTTTGGTGGTGGTTGGGGTTTTCGCTTGTTTTGTTTAAGTATTGCTCAAAATACACTTTGCTTTCCTTGCTCAGCAGCCATTAGAATCTTAAGAGTGAATTTGCTACTGTAGTTTCTGCTGCATTGTTAAGGATGGCTTATTTACTAAGGTTAACATAGTTAGGCTTTGAGAAGCAAGTTCTCGCCTGTTCCCATATTTCTGAGGGCCTAATAACTTTGCCGCCTGTCACCATGCATTGGCACTTCTTGGAAACTTCTTGTATCTTTTTACTGATTACTTCTTTAACTAGCAATTAAGCATTCCGTCACATTTTTGGGGTCAGCTTTAAAACCTAGGTACCTGGTGTGCAAAGCATTATTGGGGAAACTTGTTAGTAGTACGTGTTGCATTTTTGACTGGCACATACTTATGCAAAGCTATCTCTTTTCAGTATTTCACATTTCTTGAATGTTTTTAATCGTTACTACAAGCATTCCTAAGAATTATTTAAGGAACACTAGATCATTCTTGTTGGTGGACAGCTTCAAAAATTGTGTCCAGTGTCAAATGTGAATAACTACTTACTAATGAAAGCTTTGCAGAGTATTTACCTATATTGTCTTTCGTATATCTATTTGTTCATGAGAAAATATTTTAAAGCACTGATTCAACAGTCAGTTGAAGTTCTCAGGCAAAAGCAGGCTGTGATATAAATAATGACTTGTTGGAGTAATCAAGTTCAAAATCTTCAACTCTGCAGTTTCTTGCTCTCTTTCTCATTAGATGCTAGGTTTAGCTTTACAATGCTATAGAATCATAGAATGGTTTTGTTTGGAAGGGACCATAAAGATCATCAAGTTCCAACCCCCCTGCCTTGGGCAGGGACACCTCCCGCTAGACCAGGTTGCTCAAAGTCCCATCCAGGGTGGTCTTCAACACTTCCAGGGATGGGGCATCCACAACTTCTCTGGCAACCTGTTCTAGTGTCTTACCACCCTCACAGTAAAGAATTTATTCCTCATATCTAATCTAAATCTCTCCTCTTTCAGTTTACAACCATTACCCCTCATCCTATTGCTACACTCCCTGATAAAGAGTCCCTCCCCATCTTTCCTGCAGGCCCCCTTCAGGTACTGGAAGGCTGCTATAAGGTCTCCCTGGAGCCTTCTCTTCTCCAGGTTGAACAACTCCAACTCTCAGCCTGTCTTCATAGGAGAGGGGCTGCAGTCATAGTGACTTGTTAGTAGCACATACTGAATTTAACCACTTAGCACTCATAGCTCTGCATGAGTTTTTTCAGGATTTTCAGGATTACTTTTCAGGAGATGTTCTTTTTAGAGATTTATTGGGTGTTTTATTGTCTTATTTTTCAAGAAAATAGTCTTTCTCTAGAAAGCAGTTGCCATTTTATGCTAAACGTCTTCCTTTTATGATCAGCATGCTGCTGTGGTGGAGAAGGGTGATAAGAGGAAATTCTGGTACTCTGAAATTAAAATGGGTAACTGTCGACAAAATGCATTCACAGAAGATACATAGTGCCTAGAAGCTTCTCTGCCCAAATTGGAATACAAAACCAGATTTTACCCCAAAGAAGCAGGTTCTAATTTCAGTTGCAATGCATCTGGAGAATTTAATGATATACGAAAGGTGTTAGAGTAGGGAAAGTAAAAGTTTCTGTTGTTTCAGTTATCTTGAAATAGTCATGAAAAATGCTAGCAGATCGTTACTCATTAATGATTAATTTCTCTTCTGTTCAATAGAAAGGCAATAGATCTAGGTCTTAAAGAGTCCTGAGTCTAGAAAGTATTTTGTATTGAAGTTGGTGGAGGACAGAAACCGTAGGGGAAGCCGTGAAAACGGACAGTGAGAGGTTGGGAGTAGTGGTGGCACTTAATGTCAGTCTGACGACAGGTCATACAAGTAAAGGCTGTCTTTCATCTTCTCAGCACTAGTGCTTATCTAAGTAATGGTGGCTTTTGAAAATGGCTTCTGAAATACTTGCAGGTTTTTTTTTTTCTTTTTAGTGGTTGTAAAGTAGTTTCTTGATAGCTCGTTGAATCCTAAAAATCGATTTCATTCCAAATATTAAGTGCTGTTGGATTTGGAATTTATTGCCTTGTAACAGTTCTTCAGGTTGTGAAAGGTAACTAAATTCTATGTAATTATCATTACTACATGAGTTTTCTTTTTGAAATATTAAGCTGTATAACCATTTTTAGCCGTGTTCAATCAACAGTATTTCTCAGTATTCACTTGATGCAGGTGTGAAGCTTATTTGTAACGTTTTTCTCATTTACAGCTGTGCTAGTATCTATCCAAGAAACACACAGAGTTCCCGTTACGCTGCACTGACAGTGCTTTGTGAGGACCCACATATAGGATGAGAGTTATGTTTTGTATTGTTATAGTAATACTTCTGTCCTGCTCCAAGCAAAACAAGCTGCACTGGTGAAAGTGCAGCTTTACTTTTGTAACTGTTTACACTGGAGGATTCTGCTGGCATAACTGTGGGTAAGTTCTTTCTGAACCCCAACCAGGAGAATGACAACTGGTTTTGTGGTTGCCTTTTTAAAAAAAGTGTATATATAGTCAAAATCTTGGTCTATCAAGGAAGGACAATTAGATAGCTGGGTTTTATTTAATGTGAGCTTATGAACAAAGTTTACGTTTTCACCTAACCAGGTGGAAGTCATCTAAATTCAGAAGTGTTCTGTTAATAACAGGGTGATGAATGATTTAAAAAGGTGTTCAAGAACTTGCATCTGTATATTTTACATGTGAAGCTGCCAGATTCGAGACACAACAGTCTCCTGACCTGTTTGTGGGAAATACTGGAGATACTAAGAGCGGAAAAGGTAGAAGTGATTCAGATGTGGAATCTGTATAGGATGTTCAGCCAGCCTGGTTCAGCAACTATCTTCTTATTAACAACAGTAAGGGTATGATTTCTTGAAACCCCTCCAGAAGCTAGGACTCTGCTTGTCTCTGTAGAAGGCACTGCCTGTGTGGTGCTTGATTAATGTCGTACCAAACAGTGGTGTTGTAAGGCAGCAATGAGCTCTTTCTGTGGGGAAAGGAGGAGTTCCTGCTACTGGAATACTCCAGGATGCTGAATTGTGTACTGACAGAATGTTGCTGTGTTCCAATTGGAAAAACTTAAGGAAACTTTAAATGCCAAATGTGTCAAGCATAGCAATTACTGGGTATGTTGTAAAGTAATTGAAATCCTTCCCTGAATGGCTGGAAACAAGAGAGAGCAGTGGAATCCTGTTCTAGTGGTTGAACTCTTTTGACCAGAAGTTTGCCTTCAGCAGTATCTTCCTTAGTGATTCCCTACCTAAGGATTAAGTTAAATGAAAAAGCAGTTCTAGCCATTTCTTCATATTAATAAGGTAGTGTCTTTGCATTGTCCAACATCTCTGTGCATTTTCTGGTAAAACAGCTTCTTTTTGGGGAAGAAAAAAAAGTCTCAGTAAGTGTTTGTTCAAAATATGGGAACACACATCATCCTTCCCCCCCTCCGACCCCATTCCTGACCACCAATACCCTTACCATCCGTACAGAGGTACGAGTGTTGTGATGCAAGTCTGAAATGCGTTTTTTGACCTGGATGACCATTCATGTTAGGCCATCCTCCTGCTTGCT